TGTGTGTGTGTGTGTGTGTGTGTGTGTGTGTGTGTGTGTGTTTTGGAAGGAGCAAAAAAAAACCGCATCTATTAAACATGACAGACAGACTTCTTTCAAAGTCAAACAGACACACATGTTACTGTACCTTAATTTCTACATCTTCAACTTTTGGCTTTTCTTCTTCTGCAATGATATAAAAAAATATTTTTTGATCAGAATGTCACTTTACTTGACACGGTTTTACAGATGAGCAAAAGCAATTTGGAGCTCCTCATTTTTACAGCAACATGACAATAGACAAAAGACTATACATAAATAATTCATCTCGAAAAAATACTTTCTACAACAGAGTATAGTCTTTGTTTGTGTTATCCCTTCTGATTGAATTTATAACTTCATACTTTTAAATGAGAATGGAATCAAAACAAGCAAACTTATTTTTTTGTTTTAGTAAAAATTTTACCACACTTGCAGCTGAATTCAGTCAAACAAGTGCCAAAGATTTGAGGATTTACAAGAGATTAACAATCACAAAAAAAATCAGGAAAGATTAAAAAGGAAAGAAGGAGCAAACCACACAAGAGCACCCGCCAACCACCGACCAAGCAAACTTAACTCAGTCTGAATTGATAAGAAACTATAACAGAAATCTCCATAGTCATAAATACATATTTATAATGCTGATAAATAAACTTTACAAAATAAAAGGTATACAGAAAAAAATTTCACTCACTGAGGACATACATTGTAGTCACTTGGCAAAGCCTAAAAATGCACTGTTTTAGGTGGGCAATTTAAAGGAAAAAAAGCACAACTGTTATTCATTTTCATTTATCCATTCTGGTTTGTTGTTGTATTTTTTACCTAAAAGGCAGACAACAACATGCTACAAACTATACAAATTCTTGTCTTGCATTCGTGTCTGACAGTTTGAAGTGTTAGACAGAGGGGCATATTATTTGTATAAACCATCAAATGAAACGACAAACTCATCAAAAATGAACTTTTATCCCAAACTGACTGATCCGATCAAATCCCTTAATGAAGGGCAACACTCAGCTGTAAAACTTGAAGGCGGAACATCAGAATGGTTTCCTGTTACTAAAGGCATGAATCAAGGAAAAGACAAGGATGCCTACTATCACAATGGCTCTTCCCTATACACATAATATAGAGGGAATAACGTGGGGAGTGGAACACGACTCAGTAAAGAATGATTATGACAAACCAGAAATACGAGGAATACATTTCAGAGACTCAGGATATGCTGAACACACTGCACTCCTTGCCACAACAGCAAGAAGACTTGAGAATGTTACAAAATCTGTCAAAAAGCACAGTGATCACACAGGATTACATCTAAATGTAAAGACGACCAAAACCATGGACATAGACAGATGAAAAGAAGAGGCTGTGATAAGAATTGACGGGGAAGAAATAGAAGGAGTGAGCAGTTTGAAATAGCTTGAAGCCAAGATTGAGGTAAGAGAGAAAAACAAGCCCAGAGATTAAACAGAGAATTGTGAGCTCAACATTAACATTGAAAAAGATGACATCCGTCCGGAAAGGACAATACAAAACATAAAAAATAAAAACTGTAAGAACAATCTCCACCACAATATATGGATGTGGAGCATGGACCATCAATGAAAAACATTGAAAAAAGAGTATTACAGGTTTCGAAATGAAACGTAATAGAAGATCTCCAAGAAAATCCTGAACACAAAAATACAGAATGAGGAAGCACTAAGAAAAATAGGTATAAAAGCACCAACACGGCTCAAAACTTTCAACACATGACTTTTGTAACTCAATGTTAGTTGGGCTGCCTTGAAGCAAGATTAAAAAGATCCAGTTTATCTAAGACAAAGCAGCAAGATTTAACCAGGAGGAAAAAGAAGACAGAATGCATAACACCTATTTTGAGATAGCTGCATTGAGAAGTTTAAGTAAGTTTATTCAGTGTTTAAGGCCATTGGCCCACATCCCATCATATAAAACACTTATTTGTTGTATAAAGTTTTCATTAGGAAAAATTATAGGTTGTGCACATATCTCTTATCATGGGTCAAACATTGCATATTTCTGTCACTGGGTCGAGTCAGGCTTGGGGGAATTAACAATTTTCTTTGATAGGCAAAGTGTGGACAATAGAAAATAAAGTGGAATTCATCTTCAATTTCATGAGAGTAACACCTCTCAAATAAGGGTGAATTTATTCATTTACACCGATAGAGATGGTTATTTAAAGAAAGGTTATGCATTGATTGCCTATCGAAAAGCAAATTATTTTTAAGATTGCCACCATGAGTTTTAATTGTACTAACAACAGCACTCCACAGTATAAAATGGACCTATCGCAAGTCTATCATCCAGCCAGAATGCTCAGGTAGTGAATTGACCACAAGCTAGTCGTGCCACTGGAAAAGTTGAAAAGTTTTGGAGAAAAAGAGTTTTTGTTTTTTGTTGTTTTTTTTCATTCCAGGCCCGCAATTTAGAATACAGTCTCATATAAAATCAGGCAAGCAGAAACTTTGACACAATTCACAAAAAGCCTGAAGACTTATCCCTTTAATGGCTAATTTGTGATCTAAACCATCTGTGATCAGGCACTATTGTTACAATCTCCATATCTATGCAGGTTGCAACAGTTTTACCAGCTACATACTCACCGGTAACAATTGACTGATTTTGTAAAGTGATTACTTTTTTTTGTCACCATAGTTCATTTTCATATCGCTTTAATCTGAAAAGTAAGCCATTTTTTTTTTCACATTGTGAATTGTCCTCATGCTTTTTATATTCAACTTTGTATTTAAATATGTACTGATCAGCATTTTCATCTCCAAATACAAGTTCATAGTAACAGTAAATTTTCATCATTGTACCGGTATGCTGAACCGTGTGTACTCTTTTAAGACAGATTTTCCTTAAATTCTCCTCGATTGTGCATGGGTCTACCTTACCTATTTTATAGTAAGGCACAGTAAGCATCTCGTCAAGATAAAGATAGGCAATACCAATACAGTGCAATTTATCAATATCATTGCTCCTGCAGAATGTGATGAAACTAAAATGGAACAGCTTTGGGCGTCGGTGGCCTAGTGGTTAGGCTCTCGGACTCGCAACCGTAAGGTCGTGGGTTCGAATCCCGTCAGGGACCCGACGTTGTGTCCTTGGGAAAGGCACTTTACACAAATTTTCCTCACTTCACCCACGTGGGAATGGGTACCCAGCTATAGACAGTGAAAGATCTTGTCAGTTTGTTAGTGTTTGAGCATTTAATCAGCTGCTTGCACTGTATGCTTCCCGGGAAGCTGAGAATGTTTCAGAGTGTTCTATGGTCTGCTGGGGTAAAAATATAGTGTAAAGCACATAGAGCCTGCTGTTGAGAGGGGATATGCGCTATACAAATGCTATTTATTATTATAACAAATGCCATGAATCACTCGAGAAATATATCCTATAAACAAAGGTAGAAGGCAAGAGAGGAAGGGGGAGACCTAATAGAAGAAAGGAACAGGGCGTTAGGAACCTGGCTAGGAATCAAAACAACACAGGCAGGCAGAAGGGCAAGAGGCAGTGGTTTTTTTATCAGAAAAAAGGTCAGAGGAGCGAAGTCCAATTACTGGAAAAGCTATAAAGAAGAAGGTTCGAAGTGTGCCGAAAAACTGACTTTGGTCCGCTGCTGATCAGACATGTCGCTATCTAATTACAAAGTTCTGTCTGACATTTTAGCCTGTTTCGATTTACTAAGACCATTAGGTCAGAAACCAAATATTCTATCTGTTCTGTCAAAATCGTAAGACTATTAAGAGTTGTTATCAAGATGCTTAAAAAAATAGTATTCGTAAACTCAAATTTTTAAACGCCAAATTTCTCAAAACTAGGTACTGAGCAGAGAGAATTTTGTAATTTCAGGGTAGAGATATGCCAATGAGTCACATCGTGAAGGAGTTTATGAGCTCCCCCCCCCCCACCCCCCATGTGCAGCACCCTGACAGACTGGTGGACCTACCTTTGCTCGTGATGGGCCTGTCTAACTCTGACACGGGGGAGGGGAACGAATCGTAATAAAGCTCCTCCCTCTCCCCTCCATCTTCTCCCCGGCGATGTCCCAGTAGGGGGCGCTCCTCGCTCCCGTCCATCTCACGAGCCGGCTGCTATTTCTTTCTCTCTTTCTGCGGAGGAAAAAGCACGACAAACACTTTTATTTTATATAAGATAAGCATACAGAATTCCATTTGGGGACAAAGTAGAGAAAATGCTAATGGTATGGTTATGGGGACAAGAGTTGGAGAAATGTTAATGGCACGGTTAAAGAGACAAGTTAGAGAAAGGCTTGGGAACAAGTTGGATGAAGACATGATGAATGGGACGAGTCGGACATTTGACAACAGTACATTGTACATTAATATGCCAAGTAAAAGGAAGGTATGTGGCATTTTTACACAGATAAAATAGAGAAATGTTAAAAATATGATTTCAGGACAGATTTACGGATAAAAGAAGGGTAAACAACAAAATCAGGACCACTTTTTATCCCAGATACAATGTTCACTTTATTTAAATAATTAGTAATGTCTGATATCATTGGACATAAATTCCACTTTTATTTTATTCCCATGGGGTGAATTGGTCTGCAATGGTATTCATACCAATACAAAAAGACAAATACATTCAAGAGTACAGAGAGTAAACATGCTACTGCTGGTCACCACAGTGCAGCGTCCTATTTTTGAGCTAAGGTTATAGTATGTAGTCAAGGACACATTCAAATAACTACCCACCCATAAAATTATGTCATGTCAACAGTAGAAGCTTGACTACCCCTGGGCGGTGCTACTGACTGAAGTGTCTTTAGGTCATTCCCAAAGGGGGAACATTAACATGTTCACATGCACAGTACAATTGTAAAGGGGCTGATTCATCAATGAAATGCTCATAGCTGTGCCTGAACTGCAACAGGGAACTGCTGCTTTTTCTTTCCTGATCCTTACTATCGTCCTTCTTCCTTTACTTCTTTTGTATGTTTGTCACACTCTTGTGACCAGCCATTTCTGGGGTGCTTTGATAGTCAGAGCAGACCTTGGGCTGTTGAAGCAAAAGAGGTGAGCAGAGTAAGCCTGATTTCCTGTATGGACTTCTCTGTTGACATCCACCCCTTGGCGCTCATATCAATTTATGCAGTAGCGAGCGCCGTAAAAACTCTACTTTGTTGTTGTTGTTAGCGATCCAGTAGCATCTGAGCGTTAACTCTTCTCTCTTCTGCACGATGCCATTCGGTAATAGCTGCATGTCTGTTCTAATTGTTGTCTTGAGGAGTAGAGGCAATTAGATGTGTGGGGTAGCTTGGGAAGAAAACATCCCCTTAAACTAGCTAGCTTTCTACAGAAGAACAGATGATGTTCCACTGACTTTGAGGTGTAGTCACATAGTGGGCAGGCAGCAGACTGCTTTACTCCTATTCAATTGAGATGTTGGTTGAGGGGTACATGTTGTGTTCTAAGTTGGAAGATTATGGATTGATCTCCCCTCCTCCACTCATTGATTGGATCTTTGACCAGTGGTTTATTCATGTGGCCATACATCATCCAAACTCTACTTTTTTTTAAAAAGGAAAAGAAGCTTGACATTATTGTGAGATCAGGAACAACTTGGCCACTAGAGCAACCATGGGGGAAAAGTCTGAGGCTTTACAGTATTGTCTTTAGTTTTTCCATCCCACTACTAAACACTTTCAGAAATAAACGAGCATCCGTGGTGTAACTGTTGAATTCTGTCATTGCAAGCAAGAGAGGTGGTTTTGATTCCAAAGCAAGAAAGTCCATTTCATTGAGTATCCCCATACTTTTGCTGGAAGTTGCATGGCCCTGAAACCCAGGTTGGCAGTCTCTCTTCAAAGTGGTCTGTGCTGTTGGGGGTGTAAAACGTACATAACAAATCCATCTTGAAAACAAGCAAGGCAATGCAAACTCAAAGCTCCTATATAAAAAAACACAAAACAAACAGCGTTCACTTTCAAACATTCCAGAAACAGCAATCAAGGTTTATAACAAATAATAGTGCACAAAATAAATAAATAAATAAATAAATAAATAAATAAGACATTTTTTAATTAACTCCAAGATCTGCAATACATGTAAAGTTTTTAAATATGTAAATTCCTTCACTCTTAAACAAACTCATTACAATACAGATTTAATTCCTCAACACTTACAAAACTCAGAACCCTGGTGGGGTCTCGCCCATCTTTATCCACACAGCAGATAACGAAAGAAGTGGGATGACTTTCTTGACTGGGGCCATACAGAGGCAGCTCAGTGTCAGGACATACCAAGATAGGCCCTGTTTACTGGGACAACAGATAAAGCCTGATAAAAGTAAGAACATCTTGTCTCAGGAACTTAATCAATCACCCAAACATTAAGTAAGACCATCAGTGTTACTTGCTTATAAACAGAGTTGTCTTACAATCACACACTCAAAAATTAAGTAAGTGCAAAGTAGTTTATCTAGAAACACAGTTATCTTACTCTGGTATCAAATGAAAAATGAAAAATGTGGACAATTAAAGATATGTGATACAATGATCTCATAATGGCCTACAGCTCTTGAGTGTTTTAGCATTTCTTTCTTTTCTTTTCTCAAATGACTAGTAAGAAATAAACGGTGATAAATTTGCATGCACAAAAGTTTTTTTCCATTTCTACATAAACTTCTAATTTTAGATCATGCAGTAATCGAAATAAAGCTTTTGTTGTCAATTTTTCTTTGTCTTTATACCACGTGCAAAGAATTTGTTGTGTTTTGGTAAGTGTTATATGACGCTCACAACTACATAAGGTCATATGGACATGAGGGACAAATTAAGCATTTTCAGTTTAGATTAAATTAATTTTGAATTTTGCCTGGGTGGCGGCCGAAGTCTACTCTCATCCATTTAAGGACCACCAAGGGATCTGTAACGTATGCAACTTACACACCGAAACGCCGAGATTTTTTCACCCTTATCTGAGAAGGCTATGTGTTAGATCTTACCCTTAGATCAGGGAGGTGGCTGAAAAACAGCAGTACGAAAGAGCCAAGAAGTAGAGGTAAAAAGGCAACAGAAAGAGTCAAGAGCCCAGAGGAGGGCGGCAAAGGGGAAAGGGGAAAGAAAGTGGAGACGAAAACAGATGACAGAACATGATTAGAGAGTAGGAAAGGTGAAGGGATAAATTTTTTTAAGAAAAGAAAATGTTCCATCTCTGTCAGCTTTCGATCTCTGGACCTATTAAATAAGAGGTGAACATCATTCCTCTAGACCACAAGAGTCCAAGAAACAAGGAACATGCCTTGACCTGTGGTAATTCAGTCAAGAATGAAAAGCCAGGTGGAAAACCCAGAAAACAAGGCACAGAGAAAACTCCAACTTTTAAATAAACCTGCAAGCAGTATGTCGGGATCAGACAGACGCTGAGAGCTCTATACTTTGGTTATATCCAATCTTCCCTAGAATGCAGCAATAGCCTACTCACTATGTGCAGTACAACCACTTGAAACACCCTTGATAAAAAGAAATGACAAAATCAACCATCTTCACAAAAAGGAACAGACCATAATCTTCTGCCTGCAAACAGAACATAGCTCAACTTCCGCTTAAACAGAACAAAACAAGAACTTTCCTCAACATGTCCTATGTGTGACTATACATCCATGAGACTGTGGATCATCACCCATTTCACTGCACAGCTCTAGACGACATCAGAGCAACACTTCTCCACCCACCACCTAACATTGACAACACACTCTACAGAACATTACAACAACTGCACAAAACCTGCACTTATCACTACATGGCTTAGGTAAGACGGGCGAGAACCCAGCTGTTGCTGGATCAACAATAACAACTCAGTCAATGTTTCTGACAGAAAAAAAAAAAATGAAATTAGCAGAATATCATTTAACTGTATATCACTGACATTTGAGTGAGGTCATCTCGGTGGTCGGTGCATATCTCGTCGTCTCAGTACAACAACCCTGTAACCCACACTATGTCAAAAAACACTTTTTTGGGGAGTGCTTTTTTCTACTAAATGTAATGTTGTAGATTTTGTGTCAAATTTTTGACATGTAGCTCAATAATCTGAATCATCACCCGTGCAACATTCAGACTTTAAATTTTAACAAAGATTGTTAGATAAATTGACATAGTTTTTTCCTTCTGTTTTTGTGGGATACAGGGATGTTGTACTGGGACGACGATCTGTTTCAAAACTAGGGTACATGAGTCCACACCTTATGTCACAACCAGTAATGACACATTTCTGCTGACCTCATGCAGTCCTGACAGGCAGTGAGGAGTCTGTCCTACAGTGGTCATCAGCTGACAAGGTCTGGGTTAGTTGTTTTTTTGTTTGTTTCTTTTTTTTTTTTTTTTTTTGGGGGGGGGGGGGGGGGTCGTTTTCTGTTGTGGTTTCTTAGTGAACGATCATTATGATGAGAGTGTTTGAGTCCTTTTGGGAGTATTTCTTTTTAAAAAGCTCTTATGATACATAAAATATCAATCTTGACGGAAACAAAGTCGGAAAATCAAATTAAGATTTAAACTATCTGTTCAGTTTGACAAGTCTACAGCGTGACCATAACTCAGACTCCGCCCATGGTGGCTGTCCGTCTATAATGGTCATTTTTCTCTGGGATCCCGAGTTACCATAATGAACAGATATGACTGTACATTACTTTTTGGGTACCTTTCCATTCATAAGACGCTATGTGTTATACTGCCCCTCCGCCCCACTGGCCTAGTACAATGTCATCTTTGGCTAAAGTGTCATTTCCATGTCTACTTCTTGTAGATCATTTGTCTACCACAGATGACGGGCCTGATCTACTCCTGGAGCTTTGTTGGGGGTGTCCTTCCTAGGTGTAGCCTTTCTCAGATGATATACTTCTGTGTCCACAAAGCAGCAAAGGTTTGGAAGTGGAGTTTTCCGTCCCCTAGATGGTCTGTCCCTAGCTGATGAGCTTTATCTACCCAGAAGTGTGTGCTTGTAAAATGGATGCTTGCACTGAATGCTTCTTCTGAAGATATGAATATTTCAGAATCCTTATATGGTCGGTCACAGCAATAAGTAAATGTAAAACACATAGAAACTACTTTAGAAGATTTATTATTATGTACCCGAAAAATGCAATCTACTATTATCACTGCTGTTGGAACTGGAAGATCAGACCAATCTCAACCACACAGCTGTCTCCCAAGATATACTTTAGCTGACAAAATGACAGACATCACCCAATGTCATCCAATCGAAAAGCTTTGTCAACATGACAGGATTTTGAGTTGAAAAATGTAAAATTCAAAATTTAGCATATCTATTTTCACCATAAAGTATCTACATCCTAGCCACCAGTGCTCAGCTAAAGACTCTCTGCAAGTTTCACGTTGCGATGGTTAAAAGGGTGCAGTTCAATCAATGGCACATCAGAAGCTTGACAGTGATGACATGAAAATTTATTTTAAAGTTTTTTGTTTTTTTTAACCCACATGATCATCATAGGTAACACCCTGAGGGAACTTGTTTTAAAGAGGATTTTCATAAAGAGCCAAAAAAATCGCTCACAAAAATTAAAAGTCTTGTAAGAGGAGTAATTGCAAAATTCTCAAAGTTGTAACTTCATAACAAGAGCCTAGAGGGAACGCTAGTCATCAATATGGACATAGACTCAAAAATAAATACTGCACACACTTTGTGAAAAGAGAAGCTCGTTGACACAGTAGTAGTAGTAGTCAGTTATGTAGGGTAAAAGCAAGGCAAACAGGTAAAAAACTAATGGGGAGTAAGAAGCAAGGCCTCTCAGATACCCCCTCCAACCACCCACACATACATGCACACTTACAAGCTTTTAAAAATTTCAATAAATATCTGAAGACCTGCAGCGCAATAATTAGTAAAACTGAAGCTCAAAAGTACTTTAAAGAGCACAGCTATTTCCAATACAGAGGTTGAAGGAGAATTTGCACCTTTTGACCTGACCCAGATATGAAATCAATCAAGGTCTCAAAAAGGAAAACTGATACACAAAGCTGTCCGTCGGCTGTCGATATGTCTGACACAAAAGAACATACCTAGCAAGTGAAAGGAATGCTTAATGATAAGCTTATCACAAAATTATCTTTTCATTGCCTAATATGTTATAACAAAGTCACATGACACGTGTTTCAGTTTCAGGGGACCAGTTTACAACACAGACAACAGAACAGTGGACTAAGCTGAGAGTCAGCTTCTTTCTTCAAAGAACGTTCAGATAGTTATCGCTGCAAAACTAAGATAATTGCGAAACATGACAGTGACAACTTAACCCAAGAAGGACCATTGTGATGTTGGAAAAACTTCTGGTTCTAAGTTATAATTTGGGATAGCAGTGACGTCAAGACGTTGAGACAGACAAAGTAAGTACTGAGAACTAATGCCATCCTTTGGTAGGCCAACAGCTAGATTAAGAATGCACTATACTGTAGATCTGCTGATGCATACATATTACTCTGCATTTACTAAAGGAGCATGCGGGACACATTCAACATTTTCAAGTTTTGTAGGAATTTTTTATTTTGCCCAGGTGACGGCTGAAGCCTCGTCTTATTGATTTTATGACCACCAAGGGACCTTCAACGTGAGGCGACTATAAATGGCACACAAGACCTCTGAGATTTTTCGCACTTATCCGAGAAGGCTAGATCTTGGCCTTGTTAAAGATCTTACCTACCATGATAAGATCAGGGGTGTGGCTGAACTGCTGCAGGACGAGGTTTTCGTATTGTTTTCCGATTTTATTCAGGTCATGGGATTAGGACTTGTGGATGTGGTGGGCCTTGTTGATTTCACATGACTTTAAATAGATATAGACCTATATAGAAAGTTTATTTAGGCCTAAAAATTGATGACTAAAAAAGCCCTGTTTAAGGTCTCACTTTATGCAGTCTTCGGTAAATTTTAACTTTTAGACCCGCACTAATTAGAAACTAATAATTTGCAATGGATATAAAATCAAAATTCCAGGTAAAGCAGATAAAAACGAACAAAATAACAAGAGGATTATAACCTGATATAAATTTTAGTTTTAGATCTAGAACTGAACGTGAGACGGTCCATGATAAAAAAAATTGAAGTGACTATTTCTGTGAACGCTCGGGAAAATAAACTTGACCCTCAGAATGGTTTCCATTCTCAAGGGTTATTTGCGAGAGTTTGATGTCATCTTTCACTCTGCCATTCTGCGAGGACTGGGAAGAAGCATTTTTTGCATCGAATTCAATTTCTAGAGCTAGCTGGAGATTTTTAGATGTCGGAATATTCAGATACTACAATTGTGGTTGCGGCAATGTTCCCGGACTAAATAGTTCATTTGAAAATGCCATCAAAAGGTTCTGCGAGAAAACAAGACTGCTTGACTTTGGCAGTACAGTAACCTATTTTGCATTTAGTCACCCCTAAAGCAAAACAAAACAAATCCCTCCACGCCCCCACCCCCCGTTCACACTTTAACCCCCCCCTACACACACACACACACGTGCGCGCGCGCGGGCCACTCCGTTCTCGGCACTGCTTTACAATTACGGTCCCATTTGGGGATACTAGTTTTGACCCAACCAACGATTACTTTTTGATGCGCATGCCGATATGGAGAGATAGTCTATCAAACCTAGATTTAGATCTAATTGCAAAACATAAAATCATGGTAAATTCAGGGGGCCCCCTGAATCCCCCATTTTTTTGTTGCTTCTTTTAGCTCATTTTGTAGGCTATAGATCTCTGCTAATAAAACATAAAATATAGAGATACCAATTAGCAGTATCGATATCCAGTCCAGTACTCTGTGCTAGGCCTCGTGTGATTTAGTGCAAACGGGACAGCAATTGTACTGCAGTGCCCCATTCTCAAATAACCCAAAAATCTCTAGAACAGAAACCATTTGGAGAAATAAAGATCTAGATATATCAAGATGAGGTGTGTTGAGTATAGTAATGGCCAGTGAAAACAATTAGAAATTATAGTTAGATCCAACACGTTGGATTAGACCGGTTTGTTATATACAACTTCTGTGGGTGATTTTGTAGTTTCGTTCGTTACAGTCCAAAGCTGAACGCCAGAGACCCTGAATTGCCAGAAAGTCAAAATTCAAGCAAAGAATGACTTGAAGGCGCCTTTTCAGTTCTCACCCCCTCCCCCCAATTATTATTCGCCGGTTCGGGCACCAAGAGTCAAAGAAGGAGGGTTTCGGGGGGGGGGGGGGGGGGGGTGATCTAATAAAAATATGGAGGGGGGGGGGATTAAGGGCGGCATGCCCCCATCCGGTTGCATCCCTGTTTTTTGTGTTGCCTATTTGGTCATCAAGACTTCCGGATTTCTTCTCTGGATGTAACAAATGGATCGTGGATTTTAACGAACGGAACTACAAGATCACCCGGTAAGATTGAAGAACACCGGACCAGCGGACTGACTTTGCCTATGTCTCAACCTTCGGAATTCATAATTTTCCCGTTTTTTAATATCTCTCAATGGGGAATCTCGGACCAGTAGATCTATTCTCATTAATATTTTGTCAGGGGGGAAACCCCCCTGAACCCCCCCTTCCCCCTCCTCCACCCCAACCACCTGCCCCACCTAGGCTACCCCACATTCTCGCGCACAGTAATGTACGAGTGGTCCAGTATTCTTCAATCTTCCCGATCACCCTTCTTAGAAGAATATTACACAACAGGAATTTTACAGGCTATTAACTTCATACTTCATGACCACTCCATTGTGAGTCTGCTGATAACTTGAACTTGAACCAGTCCCAACCCTTCTTAGCCTTTCAGAAACCATACATCCCCACTTTGATTTAATCCAGCCCCACATTTAATGTATACCAGTAAATGGGAGGTTTTAGCAGAATCTTACCTAAAATCTAGTTAGTAACTAACTTATTCGACTTGCATTAGATTACCGTTTCTTTCTCCAAATCCTCTTGACTCTTGGACTTGGAAAATCGAGTTGTTTATTGTGGTTCTTCCCACTTTCTTGAGAGTGCCAGCCCTTGGTTCTTATCACATGACTAATGAAATCTTAGTCACATGACAGCTTTCTTTTTCTAAAAATAGTTAATAAACAAACATTAGCAGTGCCTGATGTCCAGTGTTTTGCCCACTGTCCGGGAATGCCAACAGGACAACCCAGGACACAAAGGCAAAAGGTGACGGAGACAAACCGATTAGACACACGTTCGTGTGTCTTATGACCTGTGTATAAATAGTTTTTAGCCTTTTCTGTCTATGCTGAAATAATAATTAGGGTAGGCACCGAACATATAGTGCCAGTGCTGTCCTGTAATCCTGTAACGTAACTGTAGGCCTAGCTATGTCGATATCCCCACCGATACCACTAAACTACGACTAAGACTCCTGACAGGTTGACTAGTTCCAGACTACACTGCCTCTTCCTCTGGATATGAACAATCTGGACTAGAAGCTGGAAAGAAATGTAATGCCCATTTGCTTTCTTTGCACAACCAAGACCAAGTTACCAGGATCAGCTTTTAAAATGCATGTATGTAGAGAAGCGGTTTATATTGTAACTCTGTGACTTGAAGGGTCAATTTTTATTAGCTTCATGTATTTTTATTTACGAAGTGGCTATTTCTCAGAACGCTCGGGAAAATAAACTTAATTGACCTCTGTTTCTCCTAACTCGGTTTCCGTTCTCGAGATTTTTTTTTTATTTGAGAGATTTCGGCGTCATCTTTCATTCTGCCGTTCTGCGAGGACTTGGAGGCAGCATTTTTTGTATCGAATTCAATTTCTTACTAATCTAGAACTTAATTGATTCTAGAGATTTTTTTAAATGTCTGAATATTCAGATACTTCAATTGTGGTTGGGGCAACGTTCTCGGACTATATTTCATTTGAAATTAATGCCTTCAAAAGGTACTGCGAGAAAACAAGACTGCTCAACTTTGGCAGTAACCTATTTTGCATTTAGTCTCCCCTTAAGTAAAAACTAAAATCCTTCATGTGAACAAAAAACAATCCCTCTACCCCCCCCT